TTCGTAGAATTTCATGTCGCATAATATTGGAGTCTTGCTTCATGATATCAGCTAGAACTGTATTCAGAAGTTAGTCTGAAGAATTAGATTTTATTATATAATAAAACAAAAGCCAAATTTAAATTACTTATTACCATTGTCATTGGTATCAGTATTGATATCAAAAATAGTGTTGGCATCAACATTAGTATTGATATTGACATCAACATTGGCATCAACATCAAAAATGGTGTTGGCATTAACGTTGGTGTTGGCATTGACGTTGGTGTTGGCATTGACGTTGGTGTTGGCATCGACGTTGGTGTTGGCATCGATGTTGGTGTTGGCATCGGCATCAACATTGTCCAAAGAATCATCACAATCATTAGGTTGGTTCGAATCTTGATCTAAAAGGTTATTATGAGTAAAGAAATAATAAATGAATAAACAAGTAAACCAATAAAAAAAAAAACATGCCTTCCATATCATCGTCCAAATTTAATATATCATCAATCTCGATCTGAACCGTATTTGGAATCTTTTCTTCATTATAAATTTTTTTTTTATATAATTCATTCACCAAGATGCTGCTTCCACGTGGCTTACAGCCATAAACAAGTTCAAATAGTGAATTTTTATGAGAGCAATACCATGAATTATTCATCGCAGCAACAACAAATTTCAAACCAAATAACCAGTCCTTACAACCAGTATTTTCTTGCCACTTTTCTAATTTTTGCTGCAATATCCCATTTGCTCGTTCAATGAGCCCTTGTGATTGGAGGTGGCGGGGTCTTCTATTTATTATAGTTACAAATGGCCATAACTCAATCAGTTCTTTAATGACTTGAGCAATGAACTTCTTTTCATTATCCAACTGTAGAATCGTCGGTGATGATCCAAGTGAATTAAAAAGTTCAAACAAGTACGCTACAACCTCGATTGCTCTTTTAGAAGTAAGGGCCCTTGCCCAGAAAAACCTGGTAAAGTGATCCCTTAAGTGACAAATATACTTAAATTCTTCATCTGGATCAAAAGATAAGTCAATTAGATCTATCTGTAATAAAAAAAAAATAAAATTTAATTATAAATATAAAATGAAAATATAAATTATCCAAAGTAAGTGATGAATTACCTGGATATGTGACAAAAAATTATTAGCTATTATTGGCTTGGCTGCTAGAGGGTGAAATGCAGGCTTACGAACGGCACACACAGTGCAATTATTGACAAACTTTTCAATAATATCCTGCTTGATCCAGCTCCACCTTTCTCGCACAGACTTCCATGTCTGTTTTTGTCTTCCATGTTGTATAACCTCACTATAAACTTGACAAAGAACTTCATAAAATTTTTCCTTTACTAAAACAGGGTTACCCGTCTCTTTTTCAATTACTCTATGATCACCAGGTGTGATCTCTTCAAGCTGGAATTTTCTCTTGGCCCAGCTGCGAGTGTTTTTATTATATAATGTATGATCTTTAGGGTTTAATAAAATAGTTTTTATTTTTACCAAAAGCTCATAGTTGATTAAAGCTTTTTCGCGTTTTGATTCAGGAAGGTTAAGTATATAATTATTTACAATTTGTTCTAAGGTGTTTCTACTAATGAAGGTGTATTCCATATTTAATGAAGGTTAAAGGACTCAATAAGCCCAAGAAAAGTTTTTTTTTTTTTTTTTTTTTGTAATGCCAAGAGGCCAAAAAATAAACAAAGCCCAGGCAAAAGACTTATATACCCATTTGGCTCCAACCAATTTACGTTCAGTTGCTTGAATTCATCTTTGAAACGTTCTTACGAACATATTATTATCATTTACTATCATTTACTACATATTGATTAAAAATTAATAGAATTACAAACTTTTCGCATGATAAATGTCGTAATTTTTTTAATCGCTTATCTGCGTCATATTACGGTTTGAGGCACCTCAGGTGACCGATCTAGAAGTTACGCACCTCACCTGACGATCGGCATCTGAGGTGCGTCATCTTCGATCTGACGCGGGAAAGGATATGAGGCACAACATATATATATATTTACGTATTTAATGTTATAGATAATTTTGCTTACAGGTAAGACCGTTGATGTTATATGACTGATTTCTCACACTGTGTGCAACATGAAAAAAATAATTTTACAATACCAGATCATTCCGCTAGTACTGTACATGTTATGATTATAATCCAACACCATTTTTATATCAATGGTCTTACCTGTAAATTTTGCTAGTGAAATAATAACGATCTATAGTTGATTAGTTAATATATTAATGAATAAAAAACATGTTTGTTCATTGCAACAACTTTCGGGCATTTATTTGAAATTTATATTTTTATTATCGTCACTTTTTTGTTTATAACATACGATTTAATTCTGTAATTGCTTATCACTTCTCGGAGACTTTCGTAAGTTATCTGTAGTTTGTGTAACCGAGAACGGCCCTCTTAATGATTATCTGTAAACTACATTTTAACTACATTTCTGAATTCTATTAGCCTGTAGAATTTGATTAATGAAAGTAATACCAGTTACTTTCGCTCAAAGCTTGTAGAAATTTAGAAAATCTGGAAATTTTTATTGTTACAAATTGCAAGATCTAGTATACTACGGATATTACTACGGAATTTATGGGGAATCATCGGAATTGTTATTTTTAGATAGGAATTTGTAAAAAAAGGTTCAAATTTAGAGATTTCCGTTAAAGATTCGGTAAGCGGATATCTAGTGAATTAATATCCAGTGAAAAAAATTCTTTTTTCAATAACATTAAATAATCTTTCATTCGCAGGATGATTCTTTCGCTGTATTGAGTTTATAAATCGTTCTTTCATGTGATAATAATTAACCCTCTAATCATCTACGTAATTAAAAAAAAAAATATGCAAATTTTTACAAAAGTAAAGAAAAAAAAATTCTATTTTCCGAGATTTGAATATTTTAATATTTCATTTTTATCCAATAAACTACTTCCAACAATTCTTAAATCATAATAAGTTGGTTCAGGTTCAAATTTGAATCGTTTATCCAAACACCATCGTATATCCGGCATGAGACTTTTAATGTGTGATTCTATATGTTTAGAAAACATTTCCAATATATAATAACCGCTACTAATATAAGGTCTAAGTAATCTATCTATTTGTGGGTGAGAATGAATTTGAACAGGAAGAGTTTTTGGAATGTCTTTCATGTTATGAATAGGTAAACGATCATAAAATTTTACATGAAGGACAGTTTGATAATCTTGTCTTGCAATACATATTGATTCACCTAGAGCCGTCACAAATCCATCTAATTTTATTGCTAAGGATTTTGGATTGTCAACATTTTTTAAATCAATGTCTTTAGAAACAGGAATTTGAAAATAATCTAATTCCTTGGTTAATTCTCGTCGAGATACTTGTGTACAACATGTTTGCACTGAATCATCATTTGGCCAAATAACTTCACCGGTTCGATAAAATTCTAAAATGTAATGAAATGCACGGCCATTGCGATCGATAAAGTATTCGTTATTATTTGTTGGATGTAATAATGAGTGATTTCTTGCCTGAAACATAGTTCCAAGCAATGTATCAGGATATGCAGTCAAAGTTGAGCGATATGTTTCATACTTAAAAAAGGTTTAGATGAATTAAAAGAATTTGATTAGACATTTTAATTCTAGAAATTTTATTTTATTCACTTTTGTTCTCACCTTGATTCCTCCAACGTTTAAAATAATACGTTCGTTACGTAATGAAATTTCTTCTATCATTTTTTTTTTTTTTTATAGATTCAATTTTTTTTAAAAAAAAAAAAAAATTCGAAAATAAAAAAATAAATGAAATACTAAAAAAAAAATCGGTTTTTAAATGGTATTTTCAGAACAAAACCGGCACCGCCTGCATTTTATTTCCGATGCACAATTACATAAATCATTGTTTTCTAGTTGGGGGAGTTTAGATCTATTCACTTTGTTTGATCAGGCAAAGTTATAGATATGGCTAACGATGAACAATAAACTAACAATAAGTTCTGTTGTCGAGCATCTTAATTGGGAAGTATATCAGATAATCACCTATTATTATGCATACAATTACAATTACTTAGAATCTGGATTTTGTCCAATCAAAATTTAAGTTAATATAAAATCGGGATTGTTTTCAAATTGTGATTAATCGATTTGTTGAAAACTCATTGTGCGAAATATGAGTTTTAAATTTAAGAAAAAGAAGTCTACACATATTTTAATTATCGGAATGAAATGATAACTACTCACTTGTTTAGTTCAGTTCATTCGATGTCCGACTAATTAATATTTTTTACCTTCAGTCTATTGAGTAAGGTGCTTGAGAACACTCAAACAATTTGAAATTAGATAAATTCAGGTAACAATTCTTAAAATTTACCGATGAATTAACCGAACTTTCGCTCAAATGACTTTTACAATAAAATCATAAATCCTGGGGCACCTGATAAAAAATTAGCCGAATGATTTTCGGCCGATTCGGTTAAGTTAGCATAATACGTAAATTCAATAAATTGATATATATGTGTAACTTAAGATCAGGTGACTTATATAAATAGAAATAATATTTCGCTGGGAAAAAATTGAAAATACTTTTAAAAGGTTTATCAGTTCTAAACACTTAAGTGCTAGCAGATCTATAAATTGGGTTCTCAAACACTTTAAAGATATGGATGTATTGAAAAGCTTTCGTTATTTTTAGGAAAACCATGTTTTTTTTTTCGTCAAATAAAATCGATTTTTTGGAATTTCAACTTGATTTATATTTTTAAACTAGTTGACAAATTCTTGATCATATCTAACTTTTTTTATATTAAATATTAGTGTAATATGTTTATTATAAAGTATATTTTATATTCGGTGCCTTTTTTTATATTTCAAGTCAAAGATTTGTTGGTTGACAGGACAGCCTTTTTCATGAATTTTCGTACAAACTAAACACACCAAACATATCGGGTATGTTTACAGCTCTATCCCATATAAATACTTGTTAATATTTTTACAACGGAATATATCAGATTCGAATGCTATCCTTGCCCAAGCTAACCCTAACATAAATTTATTTTTTTTAATAAAAATTTTATAATACCATTTATTTTTAACAGGAAGGTTTCCTTTCGATAATTTGCGCAGCTATTAAAAATCAATTCAAGCCTATACCCGATAACGTTTCGTTTATGATATCCAACAATCAAGAAAGATTCATATATTCGTGTTGATAACATTTCATACATGCCAATATATCTAAAACTTTCGATAATAAAATAAATAAATGCTTTATTACCATAGTTCCACAAATCGGACCAAAAAATGCAACCTATTAGTTGGCCGAAAATTTTTTAAGGGTAA